GCATGAGAGAGAGAAATAAATTATCTAACGCAGTTTGAGGTAGGAGGAAGATATTACACAAACGTAAATTTCAAAACTAGTATGACAGCGTGTTTCCAGCTTCTGCTGAGGAAATGGGTAGCCTCTGAGGGAAGCCCCAAAGCCATCTCATTATTTGTGGGTTCTATGAAACTCTTTTACCCATCCCCAGAAATACTACTGAGCTTTAAAGAACTTATTAACAAAATTTTCATCTAAAAAATAAAACTATGAAAAGCTTCCACTTTCAACTGAGGATGATCTAATAATTTTGGTTTGGGTTGGGTTTTTTCCCCCAGCAAGCTGTATTGCAAGAAATCACTCTCATTATTGGGTCTTCTTTAGGTCGCTAGTTACAGACTAAAAATAATACATATCCAGATGTTTGTACAGAGTTTTTCATAGCTTAGGTTACCTAAGTCATGGTAAAATAGTTTATAGGGTTAAAATCAGACTAGACAAAGCACTGAGACAACCAGGCAACAATTCCACACCCTCCAAGTAGGACAGTGGCATTTAGCAGGTATTTTTACCTTCATCCATCTTCATTTATCTCCTTATCTCCCATTTTTGTAATTGCCCATCCCATCCTGCACAGTAGCACACACAGGCTCACCCACTCACTCCCATTTCTTCTCTTGCCAAGAAGAGTATCCTGTGTGGGATTCAATCATTTTTTGTCCACAGAACTTCTGGTGTGTGTCTCTCTAAATAGCTGACATCTGGAGGAGCTAGATACTACTTATACCCTCCTTAGCACAATCAGATGCTGCTAAAGAACATGACAAAACGCCTCATTTTTAAAATATCTTCTCTCTACCCCCTCTTCTTCTTTCCAACAAGTTTTTTTTTCTGAGAGGCATTCACAGTCCACTACACATAGTGACCAGCTTTCAAAGCCATTGTTCTCGGGTACACAAAGAAATCAATATAAAAGTATACACTGATAACAATCAATTATTTCTGCACTCACTTCTATAACATACTGTTTTTATGAAAAATGTATCACTCTAGAACCCTGCTGCAAAGCTAGGAACACAACTCGAGGCATTTGAGTTCTTTAATTACTAATCCCCTGCTTTCCTCTTCATTATTCAATAGACACCTTAACTTTTATTTCAATGAAAAGAGGGGGTTCCCAAACTACAGAATTTTCTAATTATACAAATGTGTTTCACTCAGATTGTTTCTGTCTCACTAACAAATAGGGAGTCTACAATAACATGATCCTGATCCTGTAATTAAAAGACTGAAAGGAATGCAGAAAGGGGAAGATGTTACATGGTTTTCCAGCACCCCTCAATTTTGAATAATTGATTTTGCAACAAAAACCACAAATCACTCAGAGCAGGTTTGTTGTTGGCTTTTTTAACATTCTCTCTCACACACATGCCAGTCTATTCATGTTCACGTGTAATCTTTACTTCAATGGAGTATGCCTTCATTCAAAAAATACATCTAGGACATACATGCCTCAGGTCACCCAGACGAAAGAAATACAAACAGCCAGCAAAGTGACAGGTAGCACAGATGCATCTAAACTGATTAAATTGCTGTTGCTAGAACACACACACTGCAATCTCTTTCCCTTTTGGTTTATTCAAGGTACCCTGTCATTCTTCTCCAATCCTTTCCAAAATGCTCATTAGCAGGTTGAGAGAATTAAGTTAAGTTGACTCACTGATATTAATAGGTCTCTCTAATTCAATAGCAGCATGTTCAGAGAATGCCACCTGCCTTCTCTTTAAGCAAAAGTTACTGAAACACGGCCAACACTTTGCCCAACTGTTTCAAAAGCTAAAATTAGACACACCTGTTTCAACAGTTGTTTCAGCAGCTGGACACTGGGATATGGATCAATAAGATTTACTCACAGTTTTCTCCCCTCAGAGCCAATAGTGTGATTTTAGTCTCTCATCCTGTGTTTAGAGAAATGTGTATTGCCAGGGATACTGTGAATGAATCTAAAGAGGTCAGTGTTTCTCTCCCACATTGCTGGACCTTGCTACAGTCCAAGAAAAATTGCTATTCAGTGGACTATGGGATCAAGATATACTGGTCTTGACCTAGTATTATACAAGGATAAGATCTTGAACCATATATAAACCAATGCAGTTATAAAACTGCAGGTATCGTAAAACTGAAGGCTTGTGAGGTTTGTACCCTTCCATTTCCTGCAATGAGTTGGCAATGCTAATAGCTAAGCCAGCAAGTGAATCCTACCAACTTTTCCATTACTGATCCTGAAGTAATCCAGGTAACATCCAGGTAACATTCATAACTCACTTCCCCAGCATCTAAAGCACAACTGTCCCACCGGTTGTCTTCACATTCAGTGTGCACCTCCACTGCAGAAACCTATGTCATGTTGGAAAAAACCTCCACTGAAATGTTATAAAAGAACTGACTGTAATGTAAAAGATGATAAAATAAATTAAATCTTATTGAAATTACACTTCATGCACTAGCTGGAGCTGTTTCCAAGCTTCTATATCTGACCAAGTTGCTTGAGATTCCAAATACCTTGTCCTAAAAGATGCAATTCCCTAAAACTGCTCTATTTCACCATCTAGTTCTTTTTGCCTTTTTCCCCGAGGCAAAATCAATTTATAGAGTGCTACCCATAGCCACTTAACCCAGTGGCAAGCCCTCTGGTGTGAATGTGAGACCACCTGGCAAACAGGATCAGTGAGATAATCCATGTTATGAAGTGTGAAAAACCAGGAATTCCATTAATTTGTTACTAGTAAGAAAAAGACACAAGAAAATTCTCAAGACAATTCTCAAAGTTACAGCTGGCCCTGTAGTCTTGGAGTTCCCATATAATCAGAAGCCATACACTTGTAGACATGCGTGCACTCAAGTATATAAAAGTCAACATCTCCCAGAGCATATGCTCATCTCTATACTCCCCTGGAATGGGCATCTGAGTGTTTCAAAGAAAAGACACACACACACTCATGCATATGAACCCAGTAGTATGCACATTTGTGGAGGTCATTTATAATGTACAAAAATGTCTGCAAGCATACAACCATGGCCACACTGCTCTACAGCCAAGGGAGTGGATGCCTCAGAGCATACGGCACATCATCAGGTTCCCATCAAAACGCAGTGCAAATTTTCTCTTCTAAAGAGAAAGGGGCAGGGAATGGAGGGAGACTACTTGGCTGTCTAACCAGTAATAAATGCTTGTCAAGTGAGCTTTTGATAGGATATAAGGTGCTTGAAGAAGTGGGGCCACCACGATCAAACTGCACAAGTTGAACTCAAGAGCAGGGAAAACAGAAGAGACAGTAACATGACTTTTTCCCTCTTTCTGGGAAATAATGAACAAATCCTTCAGAGTGATTACTCTGTTACACCTGCTGGCCTTGCTCTCAAGTCTGTACGAGACAAAAGATGCTCCTATCTTCCCTCAGATTAAATGTGCCTTGTAAAAGGCGATCAGAGATTGGCACGATAATTATCTTTCCTCATTAGAAAGCAAGCCCTGGATGTGACTGAATATGACTCCTCTGTCAAGGCTCTTTGTGGCCTGTAATAGTACTCAGCCAGCATCAACGGCACAACACTTTATGTGAACAAAACAAAGCAACATATCAAGTAATCTTGTCTTTTTAGTTTCTTTCTCTCTTCTAAGCCTGATGAGTGAGGTGGGAAGGTGCCAAATTCCTTTTTAACTTGTATAAATGCGCCTAAATGTCACAGAAGACCCTTGTTAAGTGAAAAGCTTTCCAAAAGTTTTTCTCTCCCATATCTAAAATAGATTGCTTTTTTTTCTTTTTCTGGTTTGGTGTCAGGGTTTTTGGGTTTGTTTTTCGGTTTTGGTTTTGTTTATGTTTTTTAAAAAAGGCAGACCACTGCCTTTCACCATTTCCAGGGTCAGCCAAATGTAAGGACCCACAGCAGAGCTCCTAGTGTTCTCCCGGAGCATCACACACCATAGTGCATGGTACGGCTTTGCCCATGGAAGCCAGGAAGAAAGGTAAATACTTGGGTAAATGCAAGGATGAAAACTCTTCTAACTAGGGCATTAGCAGACCTAAGGGGCCTTCTGTGACAGAACATAAATGCTCCCTCACTTTTTTTTTTTTTAAATGCATTTGAAGCATATTCATTGCTTTTCTATTAGCATGAACCTAAAGACTGACTATTCCTCAAGAGCTCTGACCCCAGCAATGCAGCACCACCATGGAAAAGGCAGTGCTGAGGCAAAACATTAGACCTGCCACAAACAGGGCCACTACAACAACTTCATTTAAAAGGAGTGAGTGGTAACAGCTCAAGCTTTCAAGCTGGTGCTCATGTAGATATGACTCTGGTAGAAACGGCATGCTGAGAAAGATGGGTTATATGGTCAGTCATTATGGGACCTGTGTGGTAACAGATGAGGGCAGACAGCACTGGCTAGTCTACAAAGTGGAGAATTAGGAAGAACTGCATATTCCAACTGCGCTTAGTGGCCTTAGCTACTTCCCTTTTAGCACAACCAACCATGGTCATTTCATCATCCCAAAGGTCACTCCTATCTCCTCAGTCTGGCTCATTCCTTGGTGTTCTCACTTAAAAAGCCTGGACTATAGATTGCATTTCTGGTCTTACCAGAAAGATGTCAGGAGAAGCATCCCATTTTGTTCAGCAGCCAAGTATAGGGCTCAAAGAAATTACCACATCATGTAGCCTGTTCAACAAAACATGCTGCAAGATGATGTTACTATGCACCAGTAGGAGCCGAACCGAATTAATGCATTACTTTGTCCTGCACCACTGTCAAGTGAGATGTGTGGTCCCAAAATGTGATGGCATTTAATCAAAAAAACTTACTCTTCAAGTCATTGTATAACCTACAAGAACACAGGAAATGCATATCATCTACAGGACTTCTATAACTCAACCCATAAGAGCGGAGTCAGATACCAAATTTAAGAGACCTGACATCACAGGAGGGGAACCTTGAACACGCTGCAAAGGAACCTTTGGCAAGCTACCTGTGCATGTGATTCCACTGCAACCTGACCCATTCTCAGCCTCCTTCCAACACTCACCTCAAGAGAGACCTTCTATACTGGAAAAATGAAGTCTCACAAAAGTAATTCTCCTTTTTCACCATCTGCCACAGTCTTGCCTTTTCCCAAGCAGAAATGTGGGTCTTTCCATTCCAGGAAGAATCCAGAAGCTCAGACCAGTAAAACTACCATCCCCTGAAGTCTAAATCTCAGAGCTGGCCCCTCACATGCAACAAGAGTGATTTTTTAATTTTTTTTTAATATAGTAGTGTTTCTTTTAATTGCCTTTTTCTTTTGGATTTGGGTAAGGAGAGAGGAAAAGTGGGGGGTGCAGGGCTGCTTTAATCTCTAGTAGATAGAAAATTTCTTTTCAGAAAAATTAAATGCGCAGATACAATGACACCATGTGCCTGCAGGAGATCAGATTTTTAGACACACATCAACCACAAGTGGTCTCAAATTAAATTATGCACTAGCAATAAAAAAGCATTTTACATTTAAAAACCAACCAGAATTCTTGATCAGTGAACATTTAAAAATCTCTTGTTCTGCAGAAGCAAACCCAGGTGTTTGCTAGGCAGATGTAACAAAACGTTACTTCATTGGAGCAGTTTTTAACTGCTGTGATCATTTAAATATGCATTTATTTGCCTTTGGAGTGAGAAAATGAAAAGCTAAAGTAGAGTTGTGTTTTGGCCCCACTGCTAGTTATTAGCCTTCTCATCTAGGTAAAACCCGGGTAGGCAACAGTGCTTTCCCTTGCATTGTCTTAGCTTTCCTAAAGCTAATCTTCCTGGGAATCTGACTTACTTCCTTGGTCTCTCCTCTCCTGCCTCTTTCCCTTTTGTTTTTTTCTTCCTTGTCTCCCTGTTTTATGAGCTGCAATGGGACAAGGAAGAAGAGTAGTACATGCATAACCCCATTGCTTTACCTTGCTGCTTGCAGCATTTCTCAATTTTAGGAAATAGTTCCTTTCACTCTTGCTGCTGGCACCTTATTTGCATAAGGACAAACTATGAAACTATGTCACCTCTCCTCTTCTGCAATACCACAGTCTGCTGATGAGCCTGAATAGTTTTAAACAGGGTTATGTTTTCTCTTGTGCCCTCCTGCAAGCTTGGTGCTCTGCCAGGCAGCTGCAGAATGGATGCACTGAATGCGGAATATTCCCTGTGTGGCAGTCCAACAGGAGCTCCGAGGGGGAGGCACATTCAAGCTCCACAGCTAAAGTCTGGCAAAAAGAATGAGCTTCCCTGCTGCCTTGAAAATGACGGATGTACACAGAGGCTTTGCAGAACTTACAGCCCTATGATCCCCCATGCTGTGCCCCGGAGCCCTGCACACAACGTAAATTGCCACACAAAGAAACACACTCAATAGCACTGACCTGAACATTACCGAGACCAAGCAGTAACGTAAAAGATAATGTAACTCAACTGCAAAAGATCAACCTTCACTTATGGGGTGTGTTTCTATGTAGATATTCATATATTCATATGTTGGCTTAATGGCTGGCACGTTCAAGGGGATGGCTGGAGATAACCTGGCTTGTTCTTTTTGGACAGGATTAAAAATTTTTACATTGGTTCAGTGCTTCTTGAGAACAGTAACTGTTTCTCCCACAGAACTCAAAAGACAGGACATTCCAGTCTAGCCGAAAATGGTGACAAGAGGCCTTCTTTTGGTATTTCTGCTCTAAAAGGAGCTCTATAAAATTACATGTATTTTCTTACCTTCTAGGAATTAACCGGATCAAATATTTTTGACCTTTTGATGAGTGGAAAATGTTGGGATTTTTTTCTGTCAATCCTTAGACCTGAGAAAAAAGTTGAGGTCATATCCGGCAGGTAAGACTAAATTACAAAAAAAACCTCTGTAGTCTAACCTCAGCAGTTCCCTTGCAAAACGAACTATAAGAGCTCTCGGTCAGTGTGAACCCAGCAGCCCACATACAATTCCCCTCCACTATGTCCTCAAGCAAGGGGTATTTACACTAAATCACATACAGTAAGCCTACTAGCAATGAGAAGGTCTACTGCTAGCAAAGGTTAGGGATCAGCACAATTTTTTTGTGTCAGTTGTGCCAGATATTCAGGTAAAATTATATTTTTCTTGGGGAAACTGCCTGATTATGCGATATCAGTGATATCTCATTTTCTGTATGCTCGCTTATTCGGCCTATTAACAAATACCATTGCAGACACAAACACTGGCATAAATAAATATTTGGTTATATTCCACTCAGTTTTCAGAAGTTTTGTAAATCCCTCATCAGTTACAGAAAAATTAGGGTTTGCTTGTTAATAATTTATGCCAGATTCATGCAGAATACCCAGCTGTGTAGCAGGAGAAGAGACTTCATTCTCATGCTCCAAAGCTACTGCCTTCTAGACTGCAGAAGACCCATTCTCCCTAAAGCAAGAGGTGAACAAAAACCTCAGCATGCTCTGATCAGCTCTGGGCCTATTCAGTACAGCAGCAGAACACTCAGTTTTATTCTACAGTGAATGCATAATGCTGAAAACATACAAAAATCCTGTTCCAAAATCCACAACTACACAAATATCGTGCACGACAAAGGAATATTTTGTATTTGGGCAATGTATAGTATCAAACTATTCCAAAGGAATTTACTGCCAGAGAGTACATAGAAAAGAAGCATTCATTACCTCCAACTTCATAGACCAAGGCAGTGACAAAATAGACCTTCGACAGGGGTGGGGGTCATGTCTGCCCCAGCCACTTGATCAGATTCTCTCCCATCATACCAACGAAAACCATTTTAATTTTTAATATTGTTGATTTCTAGACATAAATTCCTGCACAAATAGAGCATAAAAGCAGTCCCTGAGTTTCATGTGTGTATGTTTCTACACGTCCTCCAATTACACGATCCCACACTACTCTTTTTTGATGTGAACTTTCACGCACTCAGTGCACAGAAAGAATAATACCGTTGAAAATGCTGTTACTTGATCCTGTGTTTTATCTTCATTGCTTCATTGGTGGCCACTCCTGCATTCTATACTAATCCTGCTCTGAAGAGTAATTTATTTCCACAGGGGCATTTCTGTGGTGCCACTCAGCATAGCACTGAACTGTTTTGCAAAAACTAATTATTTTGGACAACACCTTTCTCAGGTGATAGGCTCGTTTTACAAATGTTGAGTTCAGGAATAGGAAAATTAAGTCAAAATGTCCACTAGTACTGAATGTGCAAATTCAGATTGCAAGTTCTGATTACACAGAGCGCTTAGCACCTTATGGCACCATACACTTTTGAAGTGCTGACTTAATTCCTGTTTTCAGGGCTCAATATTGTTTCCATCCAAGCTATAGGATCTGAAGTTAGGAACTGGAACACAAGGAATGCATAATTCAGAGGTGACCTGAGGGAAAAATGATCTTAGTAACTTAGTAACCACCACAGTGTGACCCTGGGGAAGAAAGAGGGGTAGGAAGAAAATGCTTTGCTAAAGACGTGTCCCTACCTTGTAAGAATTCCTCACCTCGTTCACTACACAACCCACTTCAAAAAACTTGAAGTGGGCATCCTGTGTACAAGGCCATCAATTTGAGAGCAGATCTCAAACTTATTCCAGAAGCTCTTTTTTTTGTGTGTGTGCACGGCATGGGGAGAAAGTCATACAGGAGAAATAATGAGTAGAGATGTTACAAAAAATCACATCATAAAGACCAAACAAGCAAAAGATTCACTGACACTAATTTTTAACTGCTTGATTTTGGACTGTCCCCAGTTCTTTCAGATTAGTTATATAGGGAACAGCTATTTGTTTATATAAATATTGTGTTTATACAGACATTTATATAAATATAAATATTTGTGTTGTTTATATAAATATTTAGATAGATTTGTAAATACAGCCACACAAACATATAATAAACACATAAAAACACATAGCCTTCTCTGAAACTTAGACTTTCAGTGAGTTCCTTTTGATTTAAAGAGATGCTACCATATCCACTGGCATTTCTGTTTTACATTTTTTATTGAACAAATCTAGAAGAGAAAACTAGATTTCCTTCAAATTCCCCTACCTGCATGATGCAAGGAAATGAAAATGCCTGTCAGCAAAAGTAATGTGTTTAATACCATGCCAGCCCTAAACATCAGTAGAGATTTCTGTGTATTGCAGATAATTCTATCACCAAGCCATATTGCTCTGTGATGTGCTTTTATCTTTGCTGTAGGATAATATCAGTATTTCAAGCATGAGCAAAAGAATGTTTTATGAGATTGATGTGGGAAAATACAGTGACAAGTACATAAAAAAGGGCAGAGAAAAATGCCAGGTAGTCATCATAAATGCCTTCAATTCCCACCAGAATTTGTCTAGTTTATTCAATTTTAATCAACAAGCAGAGGTCTACTGGGGCCTCAGTGACTTTGATTACATTTTCAGTGCCGAAAAAGAACAGCAAGTGAAAGAAAAAAAGAGAGAACAGATAATGGGACGAGGAGACTGCCAGCTACATCCTAAAAGTCTAGACTTTTACAGGCCAAAATCCTATTTTGTTAAACTTTTAAATTAAATAAAAAGAAGTGATTTTTAAAAGAAGGAAATATAATGGCAAAAAAAAAAAAAAAAAAAAAAAAAAAAAAGAAAAAAATGAGCCAGGGCAAAAATACTCAGGGAACAAATCCACAATGATACCCTGAGCAGGAAGTTCAGCTGTTTGGGCACTGCTGGAACCTGATCATGGAAGTGCTCACACAAGCAGTTAACCCTGTATGGCTCTGGCTGGGTGAATTATTCACCCCTTGCCTACCTCTGCAAAGGTAGACAAGGTAGGTTTTCTGAGGAAAATCTCTTAGTTACAGATAAAATTATACCGAGAAGAAAGGTGATCTCTCCCAGTACAGCTAATTGGCTACCTGTGTCCTACACTGGTGCAAGATATAAGCTTGTTAATATAAGCTCTGCAAGTAACTCTTCAGGCAAATCCACCAACACAGAACATTTTTCATTGTCTGAGGTTTTTTCCCCTGGGGATTGCAGTTTCTTCCAGTTTGACAGTAGAACTGATGACTATTATTTAACCCCTTTCCACATTAGCACTGCAGCTGTTCAGCCAGACTGATTTGTTACTGTAGTTTGGTGTTAGGTACCTCAATATTTGGGTGTTAAACTGAGAACGCTTATAGGCAGCTGAGTTTCAGGAAAAGAGTGACTAGCACCCTCTGCAATCAGTTTTAAAACTGTTTCAAGTAATTTAAACTGAGGTAATCAAAACTACTAGTTCTGTAAACCTTGGCTATTTTAACTGGAAGAAAAAAAAAAAAAAAAAATCTTGCAGCCCAATCTTTTCTAAATCACCCTCCAACTCTACTGACCCCTTATGTGCAACTCAACATGCTGTCCTGGGGACATTCAGACAGTTTTTAGTCCATCTGGAAAAGTGTTCATTTCAAAACCAATCTGAATGAAATGCCTAAAAAACTCTTAGAAAATAACTCTTATAATAAGCACTGTACCTGTTATGATCTTACATTATTACAGACAGTAAATTCATCTGTTTCCCCAAATCCCTTAACAACTTCTTTTAAATACATAAATAAAGAGGGAGAATTCATTGGATATTATTTCACAATATGTGGATCTGAGACATTTTAATAAGAAATGCACCTTCAGGCTAAGAGGTATGAATTGTACACCAAAGGGAATGGTTTAATACACTGTTTAATGCTATAATCAAAAATGATGATAACATCATGGCTTTTACACATTTTAATATTTCTTTAGAGCTGGAAAATGTGATAGTGAGAACCATATTTGTATATTACATAAATGTCAGAAGTAACACTGAACTAGCCAGGTGACAGAGTTCCAATAGCATTTCTTCTCCCTGACCAAAAAAATATTACCTGAACAGAGAGATCCAGAGATTTCCTCTGAGAATGACCCTTGGAGAGAATGCTTGCCTCTTCTGTATACCCCACCAGGTCATCCAGCATGACCCACAAATCCTCACATCGCATCCTCTTGTTTCTACATACAGTGTGTATTTTCAAAAGCTTTGATACCGAATCAAGTATGACATTGATAACAGCACTTGAAAAAGGAACAAGATGGACAGGATACTCCTATCCACCAGGGAACAACCCATGATCAGCAGAAGTCCTAAATACCCTCTTCTGGGCATGGGGATATGCAAGAGACCATGGTTTTGGAGAGACCAACCAGAGCAGCAATCTCTTGAAAGCTCTCTATGCAAGGACCTAGACAGACACCCTAAAGCATAGGTAGATAGATACTTGTAAAAACACTGTAACGGTACTGAGGATTAAAATAACTGTTTTAGGAGAAGAAAAGTGTTCTTTCCTTAGCTATAGCCTTTCTAGCAGGACGTTGCCAGAAAAAAAAACCCTGAATTACTATAGAGCCTATGATCATACGGAAATTCTTTTAGGGGCGCATCCTTACAATTTTTACAGAGAGGTATTGGAGGCCAGTAACTTCAAGACAGTGGCCCCCTTCAACTGGCAGCAGCCCACTGCAAGCCACCCAAGTCTTGATGTCTCTCTCTTTCCCAAAATGTAGAAGGGGAGGAATGGTATTTCTTGGAAGCAATCCTGGATCCCCCTAGGGAGATACCTCTGCACAAGCCCACAGCTGGAATACTAGAAAGATTTTGACTCTCATTGTCTCGAGGATGGGAAGATTGTCAGGTCTCATATGAGAATTTCCATTAATAAGTACAGGACTTAACTCTGAGGCATTGACTGTACAAGAGGAAGCTGAGGAAGTGATGTTGCACTGGCTTTAATCAGTCCAAAATGTCTTATTTTTGTGTTCTCAGAACCCGACCAGGCTTGTGATAGTAG